GACAAGGCTGTCTACTCCCGTAACAATGTTCCATTTCAGAAACCCACAGCGGCAGTTCTACCCCTTCTTCTAGGGTCCCTGAGTCAGTATCGACTGATGAAAGATGAAGCTGTCTGTTCCCACGAAGATGGACAACTTCAGAAACAGTCTGCTCTGTCCGTTAGGGTCAATGCCAATCCCTGGATTGACTTTACGGTGCAGGTCTGACCTTACAAGTGTGGGGAGTAATCGCGGGACCATTCGAGGGCTAAGTCTGAGTTAAGGAAGATGGGTCATTTGGAGGTAGGGTGCCTATGTCTTGGTATCTCTGGGTGGTTTGCACAAGGGAAATTGGCTCGGCTGCTAATCGGAAGGTCACAGGTTAGAGCCCACCAAGAGATGCCAGGGAAGAAAGGCCTGGAAATGGACTTCCCCAAACAGGGCCCCTGCGACACCCTCGGGAGCCCAGTTCCACTCTGACACGTGAACGTGCAAGGTGGCCATGTACTCATGGGCAAGTGGTGTGTCACAAGGTCAGGAGGGAAGTGTGCGTGGGTGGGGGTGGGGGTGGGGTGTAGCATGGGGCTAGGTCACCTTTAGGAATGAGGGAAAATGGGGCAGGATTTCAGATTTGGAGGTAAGTACGAGTTCGGGGAGTTTGGTGGGCGGCATAGGCAGTCAGGGTCAAGTACGGAGAGGACGCTGAGGACATTCGGTGGGGGCACAAGGTGGGCATCATTGGGGCTAGGCAGACCTTCAGCCTGCATCCCCATTCTGATCAACGTCAGTGGGTAGCTGGCCATCTGGCTGCAGACTGTGGACAGATGTTCTTGGCCAGGTTGTTGGGGTCTTGGGTGTTCTTCCCTGTGGTGTCCCAGATGTTCATCATCTGTAAGGGGCAGGGGTCCAGAGAAGGCTCAGAATGGGCCCTAACCCTGGGCCATCCCACATCCCCCTATGGGAACCGCTCCCCTCCCAACCCACCAACCTTGTAGATGGCCAGGTCGGTGCATGCATAGGGTACAATTTCCAGCATGTTTGGGATATATGTGAGATACAATGAGCAGATCCCCTGGCACCAAGGCATCTGACAGAAGCAGTTGCCCAGCCCCTGGTACTGGCCTGTCTAGCCCAGTGTCAGCCGGGTCTTCAGCACCTGGGGAGGTGGGGATGCCAGGGGGCTCCTCTCAGTGGTGCTCATGGGGTAACTGGTGCCCCTGCCCCTTGTGCAAGGAGCCCTGGTGGCACAGCTTAACAACAGGGTGGCCATCCAGCCCCCCGGGAGGACAGTGAGATTGTCCACTGCCATCAAAGGGACACTGGTGAGGAGTTTCCTCAGAACCCCTATGGGCAGCTCTGCTCTGGGGCCCGGAGCAATGCAGTGCAGTGGGACATGTGCCTGGAGTGAGCCCTGC